TTTGAGAAAGTTCGGGAGTTACAAGCAATTGAAGGAAGTCAGTCAACATTGGCATTTTTCATTTTTCAGATTGGTGATTTTTTTCCGGAATTTCGGGCCTGCGTTTTTCACTAAAAACAAAATTGCTCTCGATTGGCACGATTTTTGTTCAGCTAGAAAGAGAAAGTTACAAAACCCATGCTAATAACTCTTCCGTCTTTTCTGTGACGTTTTTAGGCTTTTTTGAACATGCTCAAAAATTGCAAAACTGAGAAATTCTATTTATTTGCTTCTAACTTTAGATCTTTTTCGTTTTAGCTCATGGGAAAGGTACCATTGTAATGAGCATAATTTTCTCTATCAAATAAAAATACTTTCACACTTTTTCGTGACCCAACTCGAAAAATGCCAATCCTGGATTTCCTCCAATTACTTGTAACTCTCGAAGTTCCTCAAAGTAATTCATGGCGGAGGAACAGCTGTAAAGAGCATGGATTCCTTTTTTGAATGGATATAATTTTAAGGAAATTCATTGAGTGGCAAGGATGTTATGATTTTTTTTGAAAATGATGCGCAAGAGCTTTCGGACCAACCTAATGTACAGGGTGTCCCAAAAAGGTGTGCACACTGTTTGATCGTTGATAACTCTCGGCTTTCATGTCTTTTGCCGAGCTTGGGGTACCATTTTTTAGTGCGAGGTTTAACTTAGATTTACAGTATGAAGCAAATTATCAGCCGCTCTTCATTACTGTAGGATTTCGGTAGGGACTCCGAGGAAAAGTTTAATCCATTGAAAGCGATATTTTGCCTTAGAAAGAAGCCCAAACAAGCCAAAAACTCTTGAGCTGGGTTGATAGAAGTCGCTGATCCTAAGTGTGAAAATTGCACTTTAGTATAATGCTTCTTTCATAAGTAACTTCAGATTTAGGGTGACAACTGTTTTTCCAAAGTTTGTTAGGAATTGAATATGCCGCCAAGAAAGCTCGAAAAACTGGTGGAAATGCTATGTAGTGAAATCAGCAGGCCTTAGAACCTTGCTACACAAATCTTTAGATTGTTTTGAATATAATTAGATATTATCAAATTATCTCATCAAAAGGCCTACTCCACAGTGACGCTGTATGCTGAAAGCTCGTACCGTAATCCTACAGTAACGAAAAGCAATTGGTGACCCGCTCCATACTGCAAATCTAAGTTGATCATCGCTCTACAGAATAGTAACTCAAGCTCGACGAAAGACATGAAGGCAAGAGAATTATTGACTATCAAGCAGTGTGTACAGCTTTTTGGAACACTCTGTGTATCTAACTATGTTTAAAAATGACCACTTCATTTGAGTTGCTCACTAGGAACCCTCAGAGTTTGTCAAAGTTTAGTCTACGGGAGTTATTTGACTTGATAATTACGATTACATCACTAATTATGCTTATTAAAGCCTTTACATCATGCTTAACGAAGGCAAACGATAATGCTGGTGGGGGGGGGGGGGGTCGTATGCGGCGCTTGTGTACCACACTTGCTTGACCCTGGTAATAGTTAAAGGCACCGTCCACCCTAAGTTGAGGATGTTGAGCTTTTAGCAGCATATAATAGTAGGGCCCCCTATCAATCCAGTGCTCAAGTCGCGGCGCAAAATGCTGCTTCGCAAGCGGGAAAATCGCTCCGGAATAGCGAAGATGCACGTGGACCCCATCCATGCCCGCCCCTCCCCATCCATGCCCGCCCACCCGTGCGCGCCCAGCCAATCACCGTTTCGGAAAGCCGCCTGAAGGTCCTACGGAACGGGGATTATTGAGCTTTTCGCGGATTCTCGACTTCATAATCGGAGTCAGGGACACGAGAAGGCTCCGGAACGATCAAAACATAGAAGTCGAGAATCTGGGTGGACGGTGCCTTTAAGATTGAAAGAGTTCAACATACCGCAGCAGTGGCGCACCGAGTGGGAGGGGGGAACGGCCCAACCCTTCGGAATGGGCTGCGAAATTTTTGAAAGTTACTTAGTTGTGTTATAAAAATGTGCAAGCTACTTGTTTTTACTTGTAAGTAATTAAAATAATTGTTTAAAATTTTTGAAGTTCAAGTTAGTCTTGTGAAAGAATTTTTTACTTGACTGTTGCCAAGCCCTCTTTTCTGACATCTCAGGGGTCAGGGGCCCGCAAAAATTTTGGGAAGCATCACAAAAAGAATTTTTGGAGTGCGTGGCTTCATCCAAAAAAATTTCCTTCCCCCCCCCCCACACCCTCGAACGAAATCCTGGGCAAGCCACTACTAAGCATTATACTTAGGGAATATCGAAATATTTCATCGAATGAATGATTATCGAGCAAATTCGGAGACGAAAAATTTGAATTGGACGAATATCGAATGAACTCAAAACTCGAATATCGAATAAATAGAAATTTAAAGTTTATCAAGTAAATAAATCCCGATTGAAATTGATCGAATGAATGAATATCGATTAGAGTGTTGAATAAATAATTGATTTATTAAATATCTAAACAGCCATATCTAAAACTTGCTGACGTACCCAGCTAAAGCCTATTCATTCATAAAGCCCTCCCACCCCTATATCAACTTCCAACTCCATAGTCCAAAATAGTTCATCAGCAAAATCGATAAAGTAGATTGTTATCCATAATCAGGTCCTCATACCCCACTGTACCAACTCTCAATCCCGTAGCTCAGAGTTTTCAAAAGTCGATAAAAAGGGTCTTTTGGCAACCAGTCTATAAATGAACAAAACTAGCAAGCATATTTTACTGCTCGTTGTTGAGCAATCTAAAAAAAGCAGCTGTTTTAAATTTATCCTGTGCCCGGAAAACACTTCTTTAGATGGTTTGAAAGAGTTTGATGTACACGATGGTGATATTCGAATAAGTCGAATAAAACATTCGAAAAAACTATTCTAAACCATTTTTTGATTTTTCAAGTTCATCGAATTTTACTCAAAATCTCGTTTTTTGATTATTCAAGTTTTGAATTCGTCGAAACTCCGTTTTCTGCTTATGCGAGTTTCGAAGCTTATTTAAAAATAGAAAACTCCGAATGCTAACGAATGCAAATGTATTCGGATGTTTCATTCGAATGATCGAATTTTTATTCAATGTAGTGTACTAGCCAGTCTAGCTTGCTAAGTATGTTGAAATGCAGAACACTAGTCGGTATTCAAAATGGCACTAACATTGGACTTAACTTCTACTAAGAGAACATCCCTGGTATTTTATTTTTCTATTAGGTTGGCCCAAAAGTTTTTTCGCACCAGATGTTTTCGAAACGATTTGATTAATACTACTTTTATATGAAAGATTAAGCCATCTTTATAAAGACATCTTAGTTACTTACTAATGATCATCTGTTGCATAGATAGGAGCGGTAGAAGAAAATTAGTCAAAATTCGAATTTTCTGTGTAGGGTCATAAAAAATCCGAAACTTGCAATAAAAATCTGAGCAATCGGTATTATATGTTCTATTACTTGCTCTTTCTAACTGTGCAAAGCTTGTGCTGATTAAACGTATCTATCTAAAGAAATTCAAACTATCTTATAGAGCCAAGTTTGCTCTATCCAAAGATACATCGAATCCTATTTAGGATATAGGATTAATTCCGGATTATTGCGGTCTGTACCTATTTTAGTTCAGAAATTATGCATCAACCTAATAGTTTTCGGCTGTTCTATTCTGGTACATAATATGATGACTGAGTAAGTTTGAGTAAATATAGACGCTCTTTGTTGTTTTCTAATCGAATTTTATGTTAGTGCAATGTTTGAAGTCTTCCACACTCGAGACTAAGCTGCCACAATCTACCCTTTTTAGTGAATACCTTTAATGTTAACTTCGCTACTCTTGTTTTTCTACTTTCGCTTTCATCAAGTTACGGTGTACTCAAGGTTTGATTGTTAGATTGGTGGATGCCTAACGCGAAATCGAGTATCAGGAAACCGTTGAAGTCTGCTTGTGTGGCTCAAGCGGATCTTCATTTGCGGTTTTTTCGCGGTTAAATCCTGCTGCTGTTTCACTTAGCGTAAATAGTGTAAATGTAGCAGAGCAATACGTATCTATTTTAGCCAGTTCCTATTTCTGTAATGTTGTTTTGCAGTTATTTGGCGAACTTCGAGTGTTTACACAAACATGAATACAGTACAGTGCATTCTGCTAGTGGCGCGAGAGCATTAGAACAAGGAAAAGATTGGAATGGTTTGCTAATTTCCCACTGTTCAGTTACACGTCAGCAAAAACTTTACACTTGCTCTAAGTGTTACTTGTGACCCCATTTTGAATACTTGTGTTATCAGTGTAAATGCGTGGCGTTTGCATACGTAATTAATTTTTGTTGCTTTGACAATAACGTCGTATCTTAAGCTTGCTTGTGCGACAATGTATCCTTTCCTTTATAATGGCCCATGTACAAAAGCATTTTTAGCTTCAGGTTTATTCACAGAAAACCAGCTGTGTTATAAAGCCTGCAAGCCTATATTTGCATTACATTTCATTTTACTAGACGAAAAAATCGCCCGAATTACAAAGCGTTATTTCTGCAGACACTATAAAGCAAACTGATCGACAGGCACTTGTCAGTATGTAACCGTAGACAAGGTGATAAGAGTACACAGATATAGCTTAACGGGATTTGAAGTGAAATACACAGGAAACATTAAATTCAGCATCACATAAAACTGAAGATAACGGAGAATTGAAAACCAGGCAAAAATGCAGTTAGACTAAAAAGCTACGACTACTTTTAGCACTCAAAACTTTCGACGATAAATCTGAACGATAGATCTTATGGTGAATGGATGATAAGGGCTTTATTCCCAATGATTTTAGTAGGTTCTAGTAGGATTCAAAAAGATCATCAGTAAGCAAAGATTTCTGTTGCGATCTGCTTGTCTGAGGCATTGTCCCCCTAGTCGTAATTTATTCATAAAAAATATAACATTTTCTTTTTCTTTTTTGTAAACCACTAGCATTTCTGACTTCTACATATCCATTGCCAGATTCTGATAGGAGGAATTTATGGCTTACACATTTGCACCTAGATGAAAAACTAATGGAACTTTATTTGAGCTTGAATGCAGAGATAGCTAGCATAATTTTATTTTTACTCTGCCTTGTTTGGTTTTGGGCAGCGTTGTGTGGGTTGTACAGAGCACCCAAGAATATCATGCAGTCTCTATGGCAGGAGCAATAATCGTAAGCCCTAGTATGAACACGATTATTATGCAAGGACCAAGAGGAATCGCAAGGGATGGCCTTCGAACATAGCTTGTCGCACTGGAAAATGAATGTAACGTCTGCATATTGACAGATATTCAAAAATAAACTAACTTTTTTGTCTCTCTTCCTGTAGTTTTTGGTACTCCCTCCTATTGTATAGGGATTGTCATCTTTATTGCCGGGTTTCCAGACACAAGAGAGAAAATTACAACCGGTGGCTGCAACATCCACATCCAGCAGGATTAGACATAATAATAACATCTTAAACAGCATTTTCTGAAAAATTTCATGCTACAGACAATCTCCGAAAATGTTTGAATTAAAGACTGGCGATAAGGAATAAGTTGAAATAACGTTTGTCATAATTCCTATTTGATGGCTAAAAATTTTCGTTTTTTGTCTCGGTGACTACTTGTTTGAATCTTTTTAATTTTTGTTCCAACTAAATGACCTACCGCTTTCGCTGTGATATTTTGTAAATCTAAACCTATTGGGCCAGAGGCAGTATAAGGTGGACTAAGGATGGAGCAAATGGAGTTCAGGTCATGTTCGACTTTTGATACGCTTGTAGGACAGAAAGGTTGGAAGGTATCAAAAGTGCACTGTATTCTATTGTGCGTCGCAGAACTATGCACGTTCAACACAAACCCAATGTTGGTAGAGTAATCATAGCGGTCATCAAATTCATCTGAACACTACTACGCATCCTTTTATGATGTATAGCACAGAAGTGAAGATCAAGTCGCAAAACATGCTGAAATCTAACGTAGACGAAATGGTTGGATTTTTGCCATACACAGTGCTGAAGCAGTTGCACATTGCACTATCTGGATAGTTCTTTGGAAATCGTCTTTAGAACAAAGGTACTTGCAGAATGCACAAATTTAAAAAAAGAACAGAAGAGAAAAGTCCTGTGGTAGCCGAAAGAAGTACAGAGTGCCCCAAAGAGTATGATAAGTACAGTTCAAGCTCAGTTACACCTTCTCCCATGGATCTTTTGCCTAAAAATAGGTAAAATTCGCAGATCTGGCAACTTTGATTTACACTGAGAACAAATTGCCCATCACTTTTCGTTGTTGTGAAATTATGATGAAAACATGTAGCTGTTTACAAGATATTGAAGCTAAAATTTTGCCATAGAAAGAAAGCCAGACAAGCTAAAAACTCCGACACTGAGCTAGTGACAGTTGCTGATTTCTGATATGATATTCGCATTTTCTATCACAATAAAATGAAAATTCGGTAAGAGTGCGATCTTCTCAAAGCTCATCAATAGTGAAGGAAGATTGTAAGCGTGAATAAGCTATGTTCAAGATCAAGACATGCCATCATAAAAAAGGTCGAAACTGAATTTACATAGCCACATTCTTTAGATGCAGCTGCCAAAATATAGATCGCTCTACTATGCACTAATGGAAATGTACGGCATCAAGTCGATACACAAAAAATCCAAATCTACACGGACAGTGGTTATAGGGCACCGTCCCCCATTTCCTCGACTTCCACGTTTTTGTCGCTGCGTTCCTTCTCAAGTGCTTGATTCCGAAAGTTAAGAATTCGCGAAAACCGCCGCGTGGGTTTTCCGGAGCAGCGATGGATGGGCGAGCACGGATGGGCGGGATTCCACCGATTGGAGGCGGCGTCGGTTCACCACTGCTTTCGTTGCGTCGAAGAGTTCCTCTCGCTTCGGAATAATTCGGAATATCGAAAAATGTCTCAAAGAAAAAAACGCAAGTTTAGTATTGAGTTGTCTCAATGGCTCTACCAGTTTTTTTGCATCCCTTTCTATTGCTGACTATAAAAAGTTACTTTTTACACTTTTTTCCTCTAGTTTTTGCATAAACTATTCACAAAAAAAAATAAAAATAAAGATCTGCGCAATCTATTATATGATTGCGTACCTTGCACAAAAACAAAGCAAATTCATAAAATTTCCTTAAGTTTATGAAGTTCACAAATAAAGTTACTTGAAATGTGTAGAAATCGCTGGGACTTGTGCTACAAGCTTCAGCATAAGAATGACTTATCGATGTACTTCCTTAGAAGTCGCAGAAGAACCGTAAGCGTGATGCCAGAGAACTTCAGTTCAGTACAGTAAGTTAGTAAGTAAGTCACACTAAGTTTGGGTTCAGACGGGTAAAACTTTTGAAAGAACCCTATAATTTTGAATTCTGAGAACCTTTGACACTATAAAGTGTAGAAGCTATATCGTCTGAAGAGCATAAAACTGACAAGACATCACTACTCAAAGGAAAAGCAAGAATTATTTCTTATTTTTTCTTCCAAAAGAATTATAGGTAGGCAGAAGAAAAAGTGATAACATAAATGCATGACCAAAGGCTTGTTGCGTGTCATGCTATACTAGCACAACTTTTAACTGCACTTACGATTAGATAAGCGAATCAAAAGTGCAATCACATTTATGTAGTTAGTGAATAGTTATGAGAAGCTGAACACACTTCATCAAACGACTAGGGGGCGGAGGAGGAAGGTCAGTTGTTAGTAGCAAAAGTACACAATTATTTCATAGGGTGTCTAAAAAAAAATCCAAAGCTTTTTAAAATCGCAACCATTTCGATCCATGTCGAGCCGTACTTGATCTACGCATCATAAAAGGAAGTCTGTGCGATTTTACGATTTTCCTCCCACCTCCATTTTTTCAAAAAAAAAACAAAGAAAAGCATTTGGATGTTTCACTCTAAATGAGGAGGCTGTCCATTTCAAGTCCGCCGCTGCGCTCGAATTTTACAATACGCGCACACAAATGACAAACTCTCAAACTTTTTCTGACCTATTTTCTGAACTTTTTTCATATCTGTTTTCGCAAATGACAACATTCTATAGGACCGTACCTGTTTTCGTGGTCGGCATTATTTGGATCACCAAGCCTGGTGATGTGCTTAGAAGACGTGCAAGACATTACCCTAACAACATGTGCAGCAGTCAAAGATTTGATTCATATGTGCAAAAAAGGGAAAACTTAAAATTAGTTACAAAACATATACAAAAAAATGGGGCTTTCTTGGGATGCAAAAACTATTCGATTCTCCAAATTTTTGGAAAAATTCTTTTGCGGGAAATGCCCAAAGTTGTGATATAATTGTTGACTCTCAGATTTCTACATGATTACCGAATATGAGCTCTCCGGCTTCGCGCGTATTGAACCCCTGCACTAACAAGTTGAATTCTGAGACGACCTTTCCTTACTACGCATGTTGGTCTCCCGAAGTGAAGTGCTGAGAATTCAATAAAATGACTATGCCTTCAATAAAATGAGCATGCCTTGTAAACAACAATGTCTTTGACATTCATTCTTTGACATACACCATTCGTGCATCTTTTCAAATTGGTCGTTTTTTTACTGCAATCTAGCCAAAGAGCTTTAAGAACATCACCAGAGTCTACAACCCACGGCTTTTGCCTAAGTTTGAGTTGAGACATGTCGTAAAATTGCGAGAGGACTTGTTTTACTTGTAATTGACTTAATTTCTAAAATTTTCAAAGGATTGGTCTTATGAAAGATTTTTTGGGATGGCTACCGTCGCGTCTTCTCTTATTTTTGTGATGCAGCCCTCTAAGGTTTTTTGAAAGCATCTTGAAGATTTTATTGGAAACTATGTCTTGCCTGTCGAAAAAATTCCGGACTGTCATTAATACAGACAAGTTCAGTCATTGTCGCTTCAATATGGGGCTTGCTAATGCAGAATATATCCTTCTAAAAAATGCTTGCGAAAACATATTTTGATTTCAAAGTGATACCCTTCAATATTTGGCAAGTTTTTTCAAGCCGATGATAATTTTAACATCTCTGCTTATTGCAATTTGTTTGAAGTCGAAAAATTTTCTTACATGAGGAAGAAATTTTTAAGTTAAGATGTTTCCAACATGATTTGAAAACTCAGTCGGATAATCTGCAATTTGGTTCTGCAACAGATTTCAATCCTGCTTTAGTGCCCTTTTGATGGACAATTCTGTCTTAAAAATACAAATGGGTACTTACAGGCTCTGATGTTTCACATATCAAATTCCTGATCTCCTGTCTCCCTTAAAATTTTGTAGCAGATCCAATATAAGCATAGCAATATCTCTTCACCTGCAGGTCCTTAACGCCTTTGAAGACTCGAGACTAATTCAGACGTAGCTTTTGTTTAGAATTCAAAAAGTCTGAATTATGACAATGTAACAAAAGCAAGCCCTTCATTCGTCCAACAACGACGACTTTTTCGTAGTAATCTAGACTTATGCAAACTGAATAAACGCTAAACCCTAAATGATACATGTGTATGCCCAGACTTCAACAATCTGAACAAGCTCATAATCTGTAGCTCTTTCATATGTTGTCAAAACCAACGATCTTCTCAATAAGAATTCACAGTTTGTAACGTGTTTAGACACTTTCTTTGGGCAAATGCTAGGGGATCATCAGGACGAAAATCGATTGAAAAATGACAAAGTTGCTTCCTTTATAGTGCCTGAAGTGCCCTATTTTTTAGATTATAAGCCGCGAGGTGGTCTTAGCTTACACCGACCAGCCCAAACACATCAAAGGACCTAGCAACCAAAAAAACCCTAATCTGTGCTGCGTATTGCCTAAAGGAATCGTGCTGCATAAGGATTGCTTCTCGAAACACAATGAAGCGGTTGAGCAGCTTGTTTGAAAATTTGAAAAAGTGTGGATTACACACCTGATAATAGGGTAATAAAAATTTACAGGGATCTTAAATTCAATTTAGCATGTTTGCAATCCTAATCAAACAACTTATTGCAACATGGACTTTAGCAGCGGCTTCCTAGCCAATTCCAAGCAAGCGAGAGATCAAGTTCCAGATATATCATATCAGCATTTTTTAGTTCCACAAATTTTGAATTTCTTTCATACATAAGCTCTGAAAGATCGAAAACAAGGAGATACGGTCAAAAGCGCGATTTTCTCGGCTGTCACCGACTCAAAACTCCAGTTCAGTGCTATGCAAGTCATCAAAAGTATCAGATAGAGTGCATTGGCTCACTGTCTTTTAGAGATTACCACTCATTGAGTTTGGTTTTCGCAAAAACAAACTGAAAGATTTACGAATTTGTTTTAGCTGCATTTCTGTAAGTATCTGGCCTTCAAAATTGCTGTTTTGATTTGGTTCTAAGGTATAAGATTGAGCAACCCATGCAACTATCTGTTATATTCTCCTTCTAACCTTTAAATACTTTATATATCATCTGCTGTTGTCCATCTGGCGATAAAGATCGCGCCTCTTGACATACATCCAAATTTGAAAACTTTATAGCAGATATTCTGATTTTCATTCGCAAGCTATCACCTCGTTTTAGCAAAGTTTATTTCTCTACATTTTGTGTGTTGCATAGCTTAAGTTTCTAGTGTCCAGATCAACGTTGGAGCTTTATTATAAATCGAGATTTGTAAAGTATACAGATTTAACTCTAATAATGTTAATAATAAGAAATTTTACATTGCGCGGTTTGCCTTTGTAAAAACGGTGCGAGGTGATCTAATGAACATAATTGACTGAAAATATCGCAAACTCTTCAATCAATACTTATTCTGATGTGAGGTGCACATTGATATGCAAACTTCCATCCGCGTCCTCTGTTCACGTCAACTTGCGGACTTCCCATGCCATGTGGAACGTGGGGTGTTAAGATAAGGTTGGGATATTGAAGCTGCTTGCCTATGCGGAATAAAACAGTTTTTGTCGAACAGCATGGCTTCGCTGCTTTTGTGTGTGAAATGCTTCTTGAATTTCCCAGTACTGAATCTATTTAGCCGCCGCACAAAGCGTGTTTGCTTGCTTGTAGGTAGCAATAGAGCAATGATGCGGTGCATCACTAATGTATTCCAATGTGATTTGATATGTGGCTGCAGTATGATATTCCATGAAAACAAAATTGTAATCAAAATAACAAAACTACAAATATTCAATTTCCGGTTCGATCCTAGACACTAGACTGTAATCAGAACAAAAGTAGTATGACCTTCCCTGGATCTCATCAGTAGTGTGGAAAGGCCATACGAATTGCAAACTTGAAAAGAAATTAAAAAAAAGACTAATCTATGCTTCCTTGGTGGAGTCGTGGAGGTGTTAGCAGTAGAAGAATTTTTTTCTGAAAGGAAGACAATCGGCAAGCGTGAAAAACTCGAAATAAGAGTGTGTTTATATAAAGATGCCGGATACCGATATTATGTTTACGAAAATTTGAGCATATAACGCGGGAATTTTCTAGAATAGTAAGAACTGGGTCATCATGGAAGTAATGCAAGTGGAACATAAAAACCCGTGTGTATTCGTGGATGGATGTGTATATGTGCATGTGCATGTGTATGGTCTGTGTATGTGTATGTGTATGTGTATGTGTATGTGTATGTGTGTATGTGTATGTGTATGTTTATATGTTCATGTGTCTGTGGTGTACGGTATGTGTATATGTATGTGTATGTTTATATGTGTAAGTGCATGTGTATGTGTATGTATATGTGTAAAGGCTATTGCATGACGAAGGCGCAGAAGCAGTATTGGTTGAGCGGGCACAAACGAAGCGCGCCAGTATCCTCACCGTTGTGAATCCCGCGCCTCTCTGCGGCTAATAAAGCCGCGTTCACGCCAGAAGATATTGCGTCTTCGTAATGCAGCAGCGTATATGTTTATGTGTTTCTGTATATGAAAAGTGCAGTGTAATTTACGGTTGATTTATAATCAGGTGGTCCTGAAGCGAATGACTCAGCTGAGTATCAAATGTTTATTTTGTCAATATTTGGGTAAGAAATTGAGACACACGACAGGGATTTTTGGTCAATTCTCATATTGTTCTAATCCCTTCAAAAACCTAAAAATTTATTGAAACACCTCTTGTTTGCTTTAGTATATTGTATCTTGATTTTCAGAAAATGAATGCTCAACAAGATTATTTCAAAAATGTTAACAAAGGTGTCCTCCTCAATTGACTGAGGATAGTGGAGATGAGAAACCCTCACAAGAAGATATATGACCAAGTGCTAGCGACTTCGCCGACAACGTTCTGAAGTGATTGCAATTTATTAGTAATGGCGTATGTATTTTTCGAGTATTTTTTGAATATCCCAGCGACTAACCCGTTCCCTTCACCTGGTGAACAGCTGAAGGGATCTTTCAGAAAATCCCTGTCATGAATATAAGAATTTTAGTTATTATTCTTGAATAAAATTTTTTATTTGAGCAAGGATTCACTCATGACTGCTAGAGGTGTTTTTTGAGTAAGGAAATCATTTGTCATGTTATAACCCGACAAACATGGGATATCCGCACAATCAAAGAGCAAACCATTAAGATCTCGGAGAAGAGAAGTTAGGGTGAGTGGTTTATGAGATTATAGGTCAAAAACAATTTATTATAGTCCGCATATTCGTAAATTCATACCAGTCGTCCACTCGGCCAGTCGTAGAAAATGCTTTAATGTGATTTTGAGAAAGGGTGTGCTCCACATTGAGAAAGAGTTTGGAATATGTCGAAAGGCGCGGATTTTTTTGCGGCGGTCGCGCAGGTCCACGCTGCGGTCGCCGCGGCATTTGAAATTCATTCGGTAAACTCGTCCCACTTTGCCGTCTGCCAGCGCAAAATGCGTGAGGTTTGGGCGCGCAATTCAAATGTCGACGTCACTGGCTCCTTCCTTCAAGTTGTTTGATGCAATCTTTAGTACAATAATTGGATGTACTAATATATTTTAGTCATTCAGTCCTGTAATGACCGCTTTTCGTTATAACATCAACCTACAAGAATGGCATGGACTTCCGTTGGTAGTTTTACGGTAGCCGAAAAAAAAAGCTATAGCATTGAAGTAGTGCTGCTGATGTTGAACTAATATGAACATTTTAGAAAGGAGAGATAGAGAAAGGTGGACTTTACCTAATCGGCGTGAATCTCAAGAAGTCACTGGTTTCGAGTGAAAAAGTTGATCAGATAAGATAATAGTCTAACAAGGTACTCAGGTTCAGTAGTTTACTTACAGGAGGGTACTGAGAAAAAGACCTAGGACTAAAGAAAATAATCTGACGCTTCCAACCAAGTAACTCCGTCAAAGGATTTGTAAAGGATTTTCAAACCTCTTCGTATGGATAAATTTCGTCTTTAGGAAAAGTTTGGAAGTTTTCTTCGACTTGATTCTTCTATTTTCTTGTTCTGTCTCCAAAGTTAGTGAAGAATGAACGCTTGTTCATATTGTGTTGCGGATTCTGGAAAATATAGGTAGTATGATCATAGATAATTTGTGGAAAAATTAAATGTATTAGAACATGAAAAAGTAAGAAATTACAGGTTGAAATATGAAAAATAATCCGTTTATGCGACGGGAACGAGCACTTGCTCGTAAAAAAGCCATGGCTACAAGGGATCGCCTCTTAAGTGTGTAAGGTGTGTAATAAGATTAAACCATAACAATAGGTACCAAATCTTGTTTAAACTAGTGTTTACCTCTGATATACATTCGAAACTTACGTTTAGCACCAATAATGCACAATGAAAACAAAGATTGAAATCAAAATAAATATAAACATCCAATCTTCATTTTTCCTAAACACTAGACGGAGGTCAGAATAAAAGTAGTACGGCTTTCCCTGCATCTCATGTTGTGTGGGAAGGCCGTATGAATTGTAAACTTAATAAGAAAAAGAAGAAAACTAACCTAAGATTCCTTGGTGGAGTCATGAAGTTGCTTAGTGGTAGAAGTTCTTTCTGAAAGGAAGAATGTATTGGTGTAAATTGTGTTGAACTTAAAACAAGAGTCTGTGTCACATAAAGAAAGATTCTGGACTGATATTGTGTTTGAGAAGTTCAAGCATATAACGTGGGTTTTTTCTATGGTTGTAAAGAAAGTTTCTGGGCAGTTGCAAAATTTTTTTTCAAATCGCTGTAACTTCAAGCCGAGTGATTCTTTTTTGAAGCTACAAACTTCATTGCAAAGACAATTTTGTCCACAACATATACTTTCTTGCTAGCTACTCAGCGCCTCACTGCGGTCCACCAGCATGCGCAGAAGGGAAAAAGGTCGTAGCGAAAAGTGGCCTATTTGTGCAAGATTATCTCAGGCATGATGAGAGATGGAGAACCCAGATGGTAGTTATATAGAGGTCTGCTGGAGGTATTATAAGGACCATTCATGTTTTTAAAGGAGCACCTGCAAAAAATTTTTTTCCAGAAAGTTTGAAAAATCGGCCATTTTTTGCCCCTAAAAATGCACCATTTTTCGAGTAAGTGAGTTTGAAGTCTTCTAGTTCTGCACGAATAGGACCAAATCTCTGATTACTGGGAACATTGTTGGGGTAATGCCTTGCACATCTTTTGGGCCCATTATCCAGGCGTGGCGATCCTCGCAGAAGCGACGCTAGCTGCGAAAAGAGTTGCAGTCAGAGGCAAGTTCGACAACTTGTAATTTCTGAGCGCAAATCGCAAAACTCGAGTGCAGCTGCGGATCAGAAGTTAACAGGCTTCTCAATCAAACCACCCATGATTTGGACGAAATTCTTTGAACTGCACAGAAAAATGGCCGTAGGAAGAAAAATGGTGACATTTTTGTGGTTGGAAAGATTTCTCTTCTTGACGTGCAGATCAAGCACGTCTTGACATCGATAAAAGTCAGAAGGCTTGTTAAAAACTTCAGGCTTCTCCCTACTGAACAGTATAAAAAACTTGGTGTCAAAGTCCGACCGAGCGCCGAAAAAATGCGTTTGAAAATGAAATTTCCAAAAGTGCCCGGGAACTTTCTTTACAACCTAATAGAATAGTGAGGATAAGGTCATGATGGACGCATAAATTGCGAGCTATCCATGTGACAGTACTCTTGAACGTGCATATGATATCGTCAAATTGAGACGCAGCGGGTGGGGCACGCAGACTTTGGATAACGAATAGGCAGTATGACAGTAAAGTGTACGAAAGGTAATGCTCAAGAAGGTAGTCTAACAATATCAACGTGTTCGAATGTCTGCGATGCTCCGCTTGCTATACTCCTGGGGTCGACTATACACTGGGACGTGTTTACTTGTAATAAGTCGTTCCGTAAGTTCGTAGTGTTCGCCCTCAGTTCTTTAGGGATCTATTGATCTGCGGCATGATGCGCATATCAAGAGAAGGGCTAATCACGTTTTTTGAATCATACTAGTTGTCTGTTCCAATCAATTGGCCTTCAAAGATGGAAATCAAAAAGATGCATTCTTGCAGATAATTTTTGCATGTAAAAATAGGCGTTTTTTGCACAGTACTAGCAGTTAGGACGTTTGGTCGTTAATTTGAGATAGAAAGAGATTAACTTGCTAAAGAAATTAAGGATCAATCAGAGTGTCTCTGTGCAAGAGTTTTTTTGGGGTTAAGCAGATCCAGTGAGTTTGATCATGTTTTGACGTTTGCAGAGCTTGCTCTACTCTATCAGCCATTACCTTTCTTTCTTCTTGTGCACCCTTCCGTGGTGCATGCAATGTGACATTGTTTTCTTACAACTTAAAGAAATTTGGTTGATCCGAAAAGCCTTTCGCACCATCTTTGGAAAATGTATGCTCCATCATGGAAATTGTGCACTGAATTTACTGAATGCAAATGTTATATTTTTGAGGACACCTTGAATCCTATATACAATTCTGAATGTCAGTTTGTCTGTCTGTATGTACGTATGTGCGGTGGAAATTTTTATTCCTGTGTCATTCGGATCAAACTTTGCACATAAACGCCGGGGCGGAGGGGGGGGGGAGAGAGAAGGGGTGTGCTACTTCTCGTTGTTGATCGATATCGATTTTATCGATTTTTATTGTCTTTGGCAAGTTTGAGATACCGTTGGAAGCTGTCACGAGGGGGGGGGGGTAATGATCACGAATACAATATGAACATTTGAAATTATTTTCCGTTTAACATTTTTCGCAAGTTTCGAGAGACAAGATTGGGAGTTCGCACAGAAGAGATAGGTGAGCATGCTGAACGAAAACATAGAGGGGGAGAGTAATGGCATATAGAGGTGGGACGGGACCAGGCCTGCCAAAATGTGTACGGAACTAAGAAATAGAGACATTTATCATTATGTAATATTGGCAAAACCAGGCGAAAGCTTGTATGCCAGCTAGTGCTTTCAAAAGAGGAAGAAGGGATTTATCGAGTTTTGAAGTCAAGCAAATTCGTCATATATTATATTGTCCCGAAGTTCTGTCGGTTTTTTTCATCTCCCACAACTCACAGAACACTAATCCATGAACGGCCTAGGCATCATTCGATTGAGATTTTTATCCTCTTTCTTACCGCTATATTTGTTTTCTGACTTACCCCGTCTTTGCGATGTTATCGCCATGGCTTTTTGAGCACCTCAGCAGTAGCGCCAAATCTTCTTTCCTGAATTTTCAAAAATTTCATACTGATATTTTCGAAGAGCGCTGGTGACTGTTATGTAGAGCAGACCTTTGGCTACATTGTACCTATTTTACACTACGTGGGCCACGTTTATTGCGTCCGTTATGATTTTTTGTTCAAAAAACCACAGCTTTTTGATCACGTTTACCAAGTAAAAGTACCGAAAATTTCAAAAAGCTGATTTTTGAAGCCAATCAGACTTGATTATGTTGCATAAATGATGTTTAATCACAATCAAGTTTGAATTCGCAGAAACTCCAGAAATTTCTTGCTTTTGCTGCAGCTGTTGTTGCGTGCTGACTTTGCTAAAAATCAATGCCTCCGAAGAAATAATTTTTTAAGCTAAATACAGCAGATTAGGAGAATCTAAAAATATCTTCGTAAACTGGAATGGGTCTATTTGACCCACACTCAACCCTCTCCGAAACCTTGAAATTGTTGTTGCAAGACAGTTGCATGGGCTTCATGACCTATTTCTTTCCATTTGAAGAACTTTGTGTTGCTGCTTGTCAAAGTTATGATTTTTTTTGAAAAAGGAATGCATTTTCCTCAATCATAAATATTCGTAAAACGCTCGATCGACAGATTTGCTCATCCAGAAAGAAGAGCTTCTAAAATTCACAATATCAAAGGTTGCGACTTTTAATGCAAGGTTTCTACATCTTTGTAGGGCTTGCTTGAAGTTACCAATACGCAAGAGATTTCTTCTCATCCGTGTAATGGGAAGCATTCACGGTGTAATTGAGAAGTGCAGTTTCCTCCTTCAGTTGAGTCAAAGTCATGCAAAACTTCTGTAAAAGACGTTACAGTATTCAGAGATGGTGAGAGCGAATACTTTCGGATTTCACCTGACAAAATACATTGAATTTGGCTAAGATCAAAAACTGAGACGGATAACTGATCATTTTGCTATTTAGCTCCAATACTTTTGCGTCATGATAAAAACCAATTGATTTCGTCCACCGTTTTGAGCTCACTAAACGACATTAACCCATTATGACTTGTAGTATACTATGGTGCATTGTTTGTGTAAGTCACACAAGAGGCTACAACACGCATTAGCATTTCTCTGTTATTACAAAAATCGTACGTGAATATTATTTCTATAGCATATTTGTTAGCATTTCCATATGACTAGCTTCCAGAGTAACAATAAGGACAAACGGACCCATTGGGATGCGTTTGCCTTCACATTAGCTGCTTTTGATGCCTTTATGCTTATAAAATCTATAGCATTGAAGACTTGATTAGGATTCAGCACGGATAATTACATGAAGAACATTTTATACACGTAAAAGCATTGATTATATTATCTGCGGTTCTCGTATAAGTACCATCACAGCTTCAATAACGGACATTGTGCAGACTTTCCAACATTTTACAACTTCACACTACATCATTTTCAGGGTTCAACTTGCAAATCAATTTTTTCAAATGTGGTTCGAGTTACTTACGGTTGTTTCGCTGATTTTTTTGGCTTTCGGACAACGTGAGTGATAGGTGTACTGCAAGAAATAGACGTTGACTACGGTCTAGACTTTCTGTAGAAGATCTAAGTATGGGACCTCCAAATAATTACGGAATGGGGATGCAAGGGGCTGGATTGCCAGCTGCGATGAGAACGCAAAATGTCGGACTGCCAACTGGTTACAAAATGGTGCAAGGCGTTGTAGGGCCAGCTACGACGGGAACGCAAAATGTCGGACTTCCAAATTTTTATGGAACAGGAACACAAATTTATGGGCGAAAGGTAAATCGAAAGAGGTGGCCTTTTATCGGACCCAAAGTAAACGAGACGCCATATAATTTCAAAAGTGGATCACGAAGGTGGTTAGCGACAAACCTGTATAGTAAGTATTTTCATTCATACTATTTGAACAACGCTCGCACCTTTTTTTATTTTCAGATGGAGATTAAAATTGGAAGGCGGATGCTATCGCTCTGTCACTCGTTTTCACAATAAAGCTTGAATTGATATTTATGGTAACATTTGAGAAGCGCTTAGCGTCATTAGTTTAAAAAGAACATTTATGCTTGATTCTCAGGCATACAGTGAGTATAATTTGGATGCATACGTTAGGCAGCAGGGGCTTTGTTTCCAAAATTACCAGATGCATGCATGAAAAATTTTGAAAACATGCGCAGCAAATGAATTGAAAATCTGAATTGCTCCAATTATGTACCCGTAGATGTATAAAAGTATGATAGAGAAGGTAAGCAATTTTATGATTGGTGATAAAAATGCTCTCACCCAGCGAATAGCTTTTAAATAGGCTTTTTTAACAAAATCACCTTACAGTGACTCGGAAAGTTGTACACCAAAATTCAAGATAACCAACCGAACTTATAGCATAATGACCGGCCATTCTGCATGAATAATTGATACATAATTGAACTATTAACCACCATATTACAGAAAGGGATAGTTTTACAAAATGCTTGCACTTCAAAAGCAATTCGTGGAACGAAAAAGCAAACACGGAAGCATAATTTTTTTTAGGTTTCAAACTTACTTTTCTTGTTCCTTTTTTCAGTGCGGTTGTATATGAAACGCCATAGTTAAAGAAAATGCTCACTTGTACGCAAAATGCATAGGTGATGAGCTTACGCATATTTTTCGTAGTCATGGGTGACCACGGTCAAACACTTGAAAAATAAAAAACTTATTTTTGACAAGTAAGCACAGTCTGTCAAAGATACTAGATGCAAAGATCAAGAGCAGCTATATGGCTGACATAAGGTTTTTTACCAGGTATCATTAGTCTCTGACTTATGTTGTACATATGCAAATAATCAACAAAATAATCAACGAGACTGCACCTAGCACAGAATACTGTCCACTGATACTATAATTACTTACATTGAAATCAAAGCGTTGAAGAAGTAACCGCCAAGTTTCTGCACTGTATGCTACATGTGAACTTGTTTCGAAACATACTGAAATTTTTGGTGACTTTGCTCTAAGAAAATTTGGGAATGAAAGAATGATGTAGTGGTGGTTGAAAGCTTACGGTAGTGCCCAGCTTCTAGTGCGAGCTTTTTCAAATTTTCAAACTTTTCACTGAACAAGTGAGATTGGTCTTCATAAGCAACGATTTTTAGACTAGCATGCGCGCCATAAAGCAGAAGTTTAGATATGTTCACCAACGTAAACGCAAATTACGGTTTAATTCAGAGGAATATGAAGTGTTCAGTACCGTGTGCGAAATTTTTGACTATTTGTCTCCTCAGCTAAAAAAATGAATACTGTTTATTAACGCATATGTATACAATTATTACGACAAGATAGCATGCACTGATAAAGCCCAGAATCTATACAGAGATGATCAATGTTCCCCGATATTTGTAACCAGTAAGATTTGGAGGTTATCGTATTATTATCGAAGTTACAAACGAATTCTTCTATATGGCATCGCTCCAGCAGCATCGCAGTCGTTTTCGGTTACGCATTGTCCGCTAGCATTACGGTAGAATCCTTACAAACGAATTCTTCTATATGGCATCGCTCCAGCAGCATCGCAATCGTTTTCGGTTACGCATTGTCCGCTAGCATTACGGTAGAATCCTTGATTGCATTGACATTTTGCTGGTGCACAGGATTGGATGCAAATCTGAAAAGCCACTTTTTGTAGGAAAAAAAACTTTTGAAGAAATCTTGAACTTACGGGATTTCTGTTAGAACAAGTAGGTTCGCAGAACTAGCGCATTCCCTAAATGACTCGAACTGAGGGCATCTGTTGTCCCTGGGAGGAGCATAGCATTCGCCGATTGGGTTGCTAAATATTCAAAAAAAATTGCTAGTCAATTGAAAATTATTGCGTACAGAGCTATGCAACTTACCAAGGTGCTCTTACACACTGAATCTGCCTAACATTTTTGTCCGACAGGACAATGATAGCAGCATATGGATTGTACTCTTCTAAAAGTCATAACATCCATAAACCTATTCTTTAATTTTTAAAAGAAGCAAAATTACCGGAAGTGGTTTCTATTGCTGCTATTCTCGGAGTTGGAGTATTTGGTACGACGCGACGAAAAAGACGTTGCAGTATTCAAAAATGGTGAGAGCGAATACTTTCGGATTTTACCTGACAAAATACTTTGAATTTGGCTAAGATCAAAAACTGAGACAGATAACTGACCATTTTGCTTTTTAGCTCCAATACTTTTGCGTCATGATAAAAACCAATTGATTTCGTCCACCGTTTTGAGCTCACTAAACGACATTAACCCATTATGACTGTAGTATACTATGGTACATTGTTTGTGTAAGTCACACGAGAGACTACAACACGCATTAGCATTTCTCTGTTATTACGAAAATCGTACGTGAATATTATTTCTATCGCATATTTGTTAGCATTTCCATATGACTAGCTTCCAGAATAACAATAAGGACAAACGGACCCATTGGGATGCGTTTGCCTTCACATTAGCTGCTTTTTATGCCTTTATGCTTATATATCTATAGCATTGAAGACTTGATTAGGATTCAGCGCGGATACTTACATGAAAAACATTTTATACACGTAAAAGCAGTGATTATATTATCTGCAGTTCTCGTATAAGTACCATCACAGCTTCAATAACGGACATTGTGCAGACTTTCCAATTACAACTTCACACTACATCATTTTCAGGGTTCAACTTGCAAATTAATTTTTTTAAATGTGGTTCGAGCAACTTACGGTTGTTTCGCTGATTTTTTTGGCTTTCGGACAACGTGAGTGATAGGTGTACTGCAAGAAATAGACGTTGACTACGGTCTAGACTTTCTGTAGAAGATCTAAGTATGGGAGCTCCAAATAATTATGGGATGGGGATGCAAGGAGCTGGATTGCCAGCTGCGATGGGAACGCAAAATTTCGGACTGCCAACTGGTTACAAAATAGTGCATGGGGTTGTAGGGCCAGCTACGACGGGAATGCAATATGTCGGACTGCCAAATGGTTTTGGAACAGGAACACAAGGTTATGGGCAAACGGCAAATCGAAAGAGGTGGCCTTTTATCGGACCCAACGTAAACGAGGCGCCATATAACTTCAAAAGTGGATCACGAAGGTGGCTAGCGAGAAGATTGTTTAGTACGTATTTTCACATACTCATTTGATTAACGCTCGCACCTTTTTTTATTTTCAGATTCAGATAGAATCTAAAAATTGGAAGGCGGATGCTGTCGCTCTGTCACTTATTTGCACAATAAAGCTTGAACTGATATTTATGATAACATTTAAGAAGCGCTTAGTGTCATTAGTTCAGAAAGAATATCTATGCTTGGTTCTCAGGCATACAGTTAGTATAATTTGGTAGATGCATACGTTTTAGGCATCCTTTTTAGGCAATTTCTTATCAAATGCTGGGGCTTTGTTTTCAAAATTACCAGATGCATGCGTGAGAAATATTGAAAACACACGCAGCAGATAAATTGAAAATCTAAATTACTCCAATTATGTACCCGTAAATGTATAAAAGTATGACAGAGAAGGTATGCAATGCTATGTTTGATAAGAAAAATGCTCTCACTCAGCAATGCATAGCGTTTGAATGGGCGTTTTTTACAAAATCACTTTACAGTGACGCAGAAAGTTGTAAACAAAAATTCAAGGTAACCAACCGAACATATAGCATAATGACCGGCCATTCTGCATGAATAATTGATACATATTCAAACTAATAGCCACTATATTACAGAAAAAAGATAGTTTTACAAATTGTTTGTACTTCAAAAGTAGTTTGTGGAACGAAGAAGCAAAAACAGAAGCATATTTTTTCTTTAGATTTCAAAATTACCTTTTATGCCTTTCTCAATGCGGTCGTATGTAGAACGCACTTAGGGCAAGGAAGATAGTCACTCGTATGCAAAATGTTTAGGTGATAAAATTATGCATATTTTACGTAATCATGGGTGACCACGGTCAAACACATTGAAAAATAAAAAAATTATCTTTGACGACTAAGCACAGTCTGTCAAAGATACTAGATGCAAAGATCAAGAGCAGCTATCTGGTTGACATAAGGTTTTTTTACCAGGTATCATTAGTCTCTGAGTTATGTTGTACTTATGCAAATAATCAATAAAATAAACAATGAGTCTGCTCCTAGCACAGAATACCGTCCATTGATACTATATCTACTTATATTGAAAGCAAAGCGTTGAAGAAGTAACCGCCAAGTTTCTGCACTGTCTGCTACATGTTAACTTGCTTCGAAACATACTGAAATTTTTGGTGACCTTGCTCTGAAAACACTTGTGAATGAAAGAATGCTGTAATGGTTGAGAGTTTACGGTAGTGCTCAGCTTCTAGTGCGAGCTTTTTTAAATTTTCAAATTGTTGAGCAGATAAGAGTGAGATTGGTCTTTCATGAGGAATGATTTTCAGACAAGCGTGCGCCATAAAGCAGAATTTTAGATATGTTCACCAACATGAATGCAAATTACGGTGGGATTCAGAGGGAAATATGAGATGTTCAGCACTGTATGCGAAATTTTTGACTATTTGTCTCCTCAGCTAAAAAATGAATACCGTTTATTAACGCATATGTATACAATTATTACGACAAGATAGCATGCATTGATAAAGCCCAGAATCAATACAGAGGTGATCAATGATTCCCGATATTTGTAACCAGTAAGATTTGGAGGTTATCGTATTATTATCGAAGTTACAAACGAATTTTTCTATATGGCATTGCGCCAGCAGCATCGCAGTCGTTTTCGGTTACGCACTGTCCACTGGCATCACGGTAGAATCCTTGATTGCATTGACACTTTGCTGGTGCACAGGATTGAATGCAAACCTGAAGGGCCACTTTTTGTAGAAAAGGGAAACTTTTGAAGAGATCTTGAACTTACGGGATTTCTGTTAGAACAAGTAGGTTCGCAGTAACTAGCGCATTCTCTGAATGACTCGAACTGGGGGCATCTGTTGTCCCCGGGAGGAGTATAGCATTCGCCGATTGGGTTGCTAAATATTTAAATTAATTATTTCTTAGTTGAAAACGACATGCAAAGCCATGCAACTTACCAAGGTGCTCTTACACACTGAACCTGCCTAACTCTACACTCTTGTCCGACAAGACAAGTGATGGCGGCACATGGATTGTATTCTTCTAAAAATCACAAAGTCTTCCTTCTTTGAATTTTTAAAAAAAACGAAGTTTAAAATTTACCGGAAGTGGTTTCTGTTGCTGCTATTCTCGGAGTTGGAGTATTTGGTACGCATTGAGGTCTATTATTGATAAGTTGGCAAGTTGTTCCACCAATACATCGGACATTCGCACAAGTGATCGAAGGTTCTGGAAAGGGTTTATAAGGTGTCATAAGACCCACAAAATTGTAAAGCTTGTGAATATAAGAACTATCTAAATTTTTGTAGACTCCAGAAGGAGAGGCCTCTTTTTTTTGAGTTAAAAATTGTTTTGCCTATTCAAAGAAAGGGTAATGACAAGTATGCGCGTTTATTCTCTGCCCAGGAGATGAGTAGTTATAAATGCAGTGACAGTTTTCTGTCCTGCAATCAGCTGAGCTCTCTTAGGGTCCCACTTTTTGTTAAGAAAAGCTTTTTGCAAAGTAAAAGCGGTGGAGCACATGTGGAAAACATGCTAGTGACACACACAATGAGAACGAGAAAGGTAAGAAAACCCAAAGGAAATCCAAAAACGAACGCTGAGGCACACATCTCGGCGCCGGTTGTGGACATGGAGCACCTGGAACGCAGTCAACAGCAATTTCTTGGCAGATCTGTCCGGGAGGGCACGGTACGATCGGGCACGCTTGAGGTCCTAAAGCGAAACCGAAGCGTCCTGACGCTAGGTGATGCATCAAGCATTTGGCGGAACATGCGTAACCAAAGATAGACCCATGCCGAGCAAGTTGTAAAATAAGGTACCCTCTTTTCACCAGAGTTGAGAGCTAGAGGGCGAGGCTTTATTCGATTAGAGAGCACGAGGGAGATACAGAGCTTGCTCTCCCACGCTCACGTGCTCTCTAGTTGATCGAAGCCCCGCCCTCCAGCCGCCATCTCCAGTGAAACAGAGGGTAGTAGGGATAGGAAAGACAGGAAGGGCTATAGGGTTTTGCCAGCTCGTGAAGATCGCATCCGATGTGGACATTGCTCACATAAGACGCCACAAGGTCTTGAAACACTCAAACAAACAGATCCATTTCGCACTTCTTTTGCTCAGGTGATTGAAAGGCCAACATCTAACAACAGAAAATTATTCAACAGAGTAAGTTTCCTGGCCATTGGCAGCGAAAATGCCGGGCGTTACGATCAGGCAGGGTTCTATACATGGCCTGAGCATTTCCGTTTTTCTAAGGTCTTTCTTTAAACACACGCTTCAGCAAACAGAATCACCAAAGCTGGCTTTGAGATTTCCACAGTCTTAAATCTACAAAAATGGCGCAGATTTTTGATTTGTACACACCTGGTGGGTTCGGAACACATTGAGGTCTACCATTGATCTGCTGACAAGTGGTACCTTCTCCACAGCGGACGTTATCGCAAGTCAACGATGATCCTGTAAAGGATCAAATTCTACATTCTCTAGAGTAATGACCAAATATTTGGTTTTTTTCTAATTCGGTAATAATGTAGACATTCAAATATTCTAGTGTGGTGTTTTGCACTCATTCTATTTGAAATTACGAGCCAAAATTCAAATTTAAACAATGTTATAACTTTCAATGTTTTTTACAATGCTATAACTTTTATACCGTTACGTTAGAATATTGACTTTTATAGCTCAGTGCCTGTTCATGATTTCTAAGCCGATCCGGACCAAAATTGGCACACATATACTACAGGGCGGGGGAGAGTGCCGTAAGCTACTTTTTCTTGTCGATCGATATCAATTTTATCGATTTTTATAGATTTAAATCAAGTTAGCTATGGACGTGAGGGCTGGCATAGGAGGGAAAGTGAGCATGCGGATTAGGGAAATTTGATTGACAGGACTGGGCGGAGCCGGGTTTGCCAGCTAGTAAGTTATAGTATTCGTGATGATACCTGTAGATGAGGGTGTGTTTGGTACACATTGTGGTCTATTGTTGATCTGTTGACAATTGAAGCCATCTCGGCATCGCACATTGGCGCAAGTCAATGGGCTTCCTAAAATGAGTAAAAGTATAAATTTGGGCTATTGCTAGAAATCTAGCATAAAACTATGTCAAGAGGTTGACGTGATTAGAGTATAAAAAAGTTATGTCAACTTTTGTGGCGAATAATTCATGCCGACAAATTCGCAGGAGTTGTTCAAATTGTTCCATTGAGAAGTTATGAATAGTCTTGTGATACATATATGAAATAACGGAAGGAGCCTCCCCCTCCCATCCCTGGGGCCAGGTCGCAAAAATTTGAAGTTCACTTAGGGCCGCATGCACTAACATGGCCGCGGGGAGGGGATCGTAGCTTAAAAGAAAGCCTTTTATTTCAAAACTCCAGATACTTATATTTCACGTTGTGTACCTATCCGTAAGTATTCCTACTATCCTTTACTATGAACGTGTTGAACAGAAGCGAGAAGCTGTACAAAAAGCATTTTCCAGCTTTTGTATGATCCCTGATGATCCCCGGCGCTTTTCTTTGATTTTTCTTTCTCCGAAGTCAACGAGAAACTTCCAAAGTTGTGCAGGTTATCTAACCCAACAATGCTAAGCATGTTGCTGATAAGAACAAATGATGTTTTGAAGTCATGAAATTTTCGATGATCCACAGGTCGAAATTTGGGGTATACCGAAAAATTCGATTTTTCAAAAATTCATTTGTTCTCATCAGCAACATGCTTAGCACTGTTGTGTTAGATGTTCAGTATAACTTTGGAAGGTTTTCGTTAACTCCGGAGAAAGAAAAATGACTTTGAAGAATAGATGTTCGTCCCCCAGGGATCATCAGGGGATCCTACAAAAAGCTGGGAAATGCCGCTTGTACAGCTTCTCGCTTCTGCTCAATATGTTCATAGTGAAGGATGGTGGGAGTACTTACGGACAGGTAGACAGCGTGAAATCCAGATATCCGGAGCTTCAGGATACGAAGCTTTCTTCTGAAGCTTCCATCCCCTCCCCAGCGGAAATGTTAGTGCATGTGGCCCTTAGAGGGGCTATATCAGGTCGGTCGGGAAGTTCGTGCCGTTTTTCAAACCCATGCTTAAACCACTTAGAATAAAGTAAACAAAAGCTGTAGGTACTATCCGATGTAGAATTTCTTCCTCTTTATGAAAGTTATGTTTTTGTCTAGATGCCATCGATGACCGCGCAAATGATTGTCAAAATCTCCAACCCATGATTTTCGCCCCTTTTGAGTTTGGCTATTTTTTAAAATTCACATTCTCAACTTTTGGAGTATCTTCAATAACAGTTGGATAGAATAAACGAAATGTAATACAGTGAATTATTTTGGCTCTATTAACTAACTTTTCATTGATTCTTAAGATAAGATTAAGATCTCAAGATTTTTCCAAAATGTTTTGCGAAGTAGCGAATTACACAATCGCTTCAAACAGTGACAAATTATCGCAATTTTAAACTTCCAAAAAAGGTTATGACTTAGCACTGATATAAGCAAGCAACTGAGCTTTTAGCGGGCTGCATCGGATGACATCTTGGTTGCTAGTCGTTTGTTGTTCTGTGACAACTTGAATGCCCTACTAATATGGAATTTGATAGCATCAGAAAATATTTTCAAAATTGAGAAGCCGGTTAGAAAAGTCAGAAGACTGCTTTGTATTCCACTTTGCTTATTCTATTCAACTGTTATCAAAGCTAGTCAAAAAGTTCAAAATGTAAATTTTAAGCCTGGGTTGGAGATTTTGACAATTACTTGCGCGGTCATCAATGGCATCTAGACAAAAACATAACTGTTAGAAAGAGGAAAAAATCTGCAGAAGATAAAATTTACATCGCTTGTCTACCTTTTCTATCTTTATTCCAAATAGTTTGAGCATGGGTCTGAAAAACGGCACGAATTTTCGGACCGACCTAAGAAATATGTGCAAATGTTTATTCGTTATACTTGTCTATTTTCGCAAATAAACAAAATAATATTCAAACTTCTTTAAAAATTCAAACTAGTTATGTGAAAAAATTCTCAGGGGCGTGGCTGCAGCTACGTCTCCTTTGTCTAGATTTTAGGGGTTACGAGCCCAGTTTTGAAGAGCACCCCAAAAATTCCTTCGGAGTGTGTGGTTGATCACGCACAAATTTGAAAAAAATTTCTGGCACCCCCCCCCCCTCCTCCTCTTACGGAAATCCTGGGACCGCCATAGCATAAAAGCTTAATTGGAAGCAAGCATTTTTGTGTTATAAATCAATATTACTGACTTTGATTTATATATGCCATACCTTGCCATACCTTCGATACATAGAGCCGCGTACTCTGGTGACCTTCACTTTGAGCGTCATGATAGAACACAACCTTCACCTAGAGGGAAGTCATCCGGGGCGAAGCCCCGGATATCATAGCATAACTAATGACATATCCATATAGGGAGAGATGTGAATGAGATAAATATAGTAGTGACATCCAAAAGAAGCTCAAAAAACCGAAGGATTACGTTTTTATGGTTCTTTTTTGCCAAAAAAGACTTTTATTCAAAAATTCAATGAGGAACTGGAGAAAGATTTCTCAATTAATCTTTCTCCAGACTTCGATTGAGCGTTGGAAGTTCATGAAAGCCGCTGCAGTTCAATAGAAACGAGAAACTGCGCTCAAATCTTGCGCAGAGAGTCGCTACTTAATACTGGTCTATTTCGTTATGGAGTGATTTTCAAGACCCGCGACGTTGTCAGTGCTCCTGGACGTCTCATGAGGATCACAACGATATATAATGTTATAGGGTTTCGTTATGATCCCGCGGAGATCAATGACCAGAGCCAAATGCCCCACCGGCTCTGGTCTGTCTCCGCTGCTCGTCTGCGTCTCCGCGACTTGCGCGCTACCTCGCTACCCCAAAAGCGGGGCGCGGGGCATTTGGTTCTGGTAACCTTTTCTTCGTTGTTGGGAGCTTAATTTCGACAATCTATATATCATGATCTCAATCTATATATCAAGCTCTTGATCTCTATTTTCACGCTGACAACGTCGCAGGACTCCTTTTTATGATTTAAACGAGAAATATAAGAAAAACGGAGTTTTCGAAAACCTCTTGTTTTTTCTTCAGTTCAACTCTTTTCACTCGGTTTTTTTGTGTATTCGATAGGTCTTGTTTCTGTCTATGATGTAGACAACGTCGCCGAGCTTACTTCTCTGCTTATGCCGGGTTTTTTGTGAAAATTACCAAAAAGTGCGTTTTTCTTTACCTTGTTCTTTTTCAATGCTTTTGCAACGAATTTTCTCCAGCTTGGACGCTACTTGCTCAGAATGATGAGCGGAAGAATTTAGACAACGTCGCAGGATACGAAACGACCATGCGGGGGTGAAATTTCAAAGGACGCGTCAAAAATCAGATTGGCGTCGATGTGCAGCATAACTTTTCAGACATGTTTAACATGTTCAGTTCAGTTGTTGACAAGTTTGCCTTCTTTCGGTCTCCCAACTACTGCCACAGCTAACGCTTTTTTTTAATTAGAAAAGAACTTTGTTCCTGTTGCCACCCAATTTAACCGGCAATTCTGAAGACAAAAATGTGCGTAGGAAACCACGAAGATAAGGTTTCAAATTTGGTGATGTGTTGGCTTCTGTTTTATATGAATTTTTCAAGTTTCCTGGTTCAATTCAGATCTCTAAATTTCCATTTTTTTTCTAAAACAACCTTCACTTTTTATAGGGGGCAAGAACTCAAGCAACTATCACTTTCTAGGCTCTGTCTCTTGACTATCGAAGGTATGATATATGGGTCTAGGAAAAAAAGACAACATGTAAAAACTGTTCAGAACTACATTCATTTTTATGCGTACCTGTCGAAGAAGGTGGATCTGGCACACATTGAGGTCTATTGTTGATTACTCGACATGTGGTCCCAACTCTACATAGGGGACAACTTCCTGGAAATTTTTACGCATCTATTAAAAACTGCACTGAAGTTGCTACTAAATGTCCAAATGGTTTTCATCAACTAAAGATATGCACATGTAGCTTATTTTTGATTGCGATAATAAAAAGATAGGTAGCGAAAATTTCCGAAGGTTTAGCGACAATTTCTGCTTAAATCTTTGCAAATTTGAAAAAAAAAACGTGCTGGTTAGCTTTCCTCACTCGGCACTTTCGCAGTGTGGAACTAAAAGGTTAATAGTGACCGTGTGATAAGAGCATTTTGCTAATCAGACATTTTTCAGCAGTACCTGTGAAAGGTGGGGTATTTGGCACGCACTGAGGCCTACCACCAATCTGCCGACAAGTGAAGCCACTCAGACAATCAACGGTTGCGCAGGTTAGTGGAGATCCTCAAATAACCATAAGTAAAATTAAATTGCGCTGAAGTGTTACAAGCTTGAATTATTGGTGAAAATACCTTTAGCCATTTCTAGAGAGTGTCCCAAAAAGATGTGCACTCTGTTCAATCGTTAATAACTCTCTTGCTTTAATGTCTTTTGCCGAGCTTTAGGAGCCAATGTGTAGGGCGAAATTCAACTTACAATTAGATTTACAGCATAATATTAATCGCTCTTCATTCCTGCAGGATTACGGTAGGAACTTCGAGGAGGATTTTAAGCCATTAAAAGCGGTATTCTGCCTTAGGAAAAGACAAACAAGAAAAAAAACTCTTGAATGGGCTAATCGAAATCGCTGATTCTAAATATGAGATTTGCACCTTAGTATAGTGCTTCTTTTAGAAGCTGTTCCAGATTTAGGGTAACAACTGTTTTTTCTCAATGTTCGTCAAAAATGTGAATACGTCATCAAGAAAGCTCGAAAAACTTGTGCAAAGTCATGTAATGAAATCGGCTCGTCTGAAAACCTTGCTACACGGATTCCTGATTTTTTTTTGAAATTAATTCATTAAAAGTCCTATTTTACGTGACGCTGTATGCTGAAAATTCATACCATAATTCCTGAAGTAATGAAGAGGATTGGTAATTCGCTCGATACTTCTAAATCTATGTTGGACCTCGCTTTACAGGATGATACTCCAAGCTCGGCAAAAGAAAAAAGGAAGAGAGGTATTAACGATATTTATTTTAAATATTTAGCTTAGTTTTCACAATACGGTAAAAAATTAAAAGTTCAAATTTCTTAGTGCAGCACTCATTCTATTTGAATTTACGAGCTCAAATTCAGATTTGTATGTAATGTTATGATTTTTATACCCTTACGTTTGGATAATAAGTTGTGATTTTTATGACGTTACCTGTAGATGACGGTGTGTTTGGTACACATTGTGGTCTATTGTTGATCTGTTGACAATTGAAACCGTCTCGGCATCGCACAGTGGCGCAAGTCAATGGGCTTCCTGAAGAGTGTAAGCATAATTTTACGCTATTGCTAGGATTCTAGCAGACTATGTCAAAAGGTTAACACGACCAAAGTATGAAAAGGTGATAACATATCAAAGTATGAAAAAATTATGTCAAATTTGTGTCAATCAATTCATGCCGATAAACTCGAATTTTTGCTCGAAATGTTTCATGACAATGAGAAGTTATGAGTATTCTTGTAATAAATGCATGACAGTGGCGGACCAAGCCCCCTCCCCCCTCTCGAGAATGGGTCGCGAGATTTTTGGAATTCACTTACATGGGTTATAAAAACGTCCAAGTGTCTTGTTTATTCTTTTAAGTGATTAAAATATTCAAAATAAAAATGCAAATTAGTTATGTGGAAAAAAATTCGGGGGCATGGCTGCAGCCACGCTTTCCTTGTCTAGAATTTAGGGGTTACGAGACCGCAGACTTTTGAGAAGCACCCCAAAAATGTTTTGGGAGTGCATGAAAAATCATGCACCCATTTGAAAAAAAAATCCCCCCCCCCTCTTACGGAAATCCTGGGACCGCCACTGATATATGACGGTGTAAAGTACATAACGCACTTAGCATAGGGGCTTCTTAGGTCGGAAGCAAGCATTTTTGGGTCATAAATATTGTTAACGTTGATTTTTATATGGTTCTAGGAAAAAAGACAACATTGCATTCATTTCTAAGCTTTACCTGTCGAAGAAGGTGGGTTTGGCACACATTGAGGTCTATTGTTGATTAGTTGACATGTGGTACCAGCGCTACATCGGACGTTAGCGCAAGTTAGTGGGCTTCCTGGAAGTTAACGCATTTATTAGGAGCTGCACTAAAATCGGTTCTAAACTCTCAAATGTTTCGTCAATGCACATGTAGCTTATCTTTGATCTAATAAAAAAACAGTCAGTAGCGAAAATTTGCGAAGATCTTAGCGACAGTTTTTGCTTAGACCTTTACAAATTTGAAAAAAAACTGTTGGTTAGCTTTTCTCACGCGGCACTTTGAAAGTATAGAAACCAAAAGAATAATAGTGAGCATGTGATAAGAGCATTTTGCTATTCAAACATTTTTAGCAGTACCTGTGGAAGATGGGGTATTTGGAACGCACTGAGGTCTACCACCGATCTGCTGACAAGTGAAGCCAGTCCGACAATCAACAGTTGCGCAAGTTAGTGGAGATCCTAAAATCGTAAGCAAAATTTTGAATACTGAGCATGGACAACTTGATTTATCAAATATGAATTCTGCAAATCAAGATATTCAACGGACAATGTTTATGAAGCTACCCTTTGATTCAACTGGCTTGGCGGCTGGAAGGCGAGAGATTTCGTGACCTAATTGCGGTTAGGTAATGTCAGAGAGCACGCGCGCTGGAGAGACGCAGACTGCGTCGCGGGCGCGAGCGGCCCTGATTTGATCACAAAGTCCCGCCCTCCAGCAGCCAAGCCAGTTGAAAAGAGTGGTTATGTTTCACGGTAATGCTAATATGCAGACATTTTTCGGTTATTTTCGTGCTTATGAACGGGCGGATCGAATAATTTTGATTGTCTTCACGATTCTGGAGTTCATTCTAGAATACCTGTCGACGATGGGGTATTTGGCACACACTGAGGTCTACCACCGATCTGCTGACAAGTGAAGCCAGTCCGACAATCAACAGTTGCGCAAGTTAGTGGAGATCCTAAAATCGTAAGCAAAATTTTGAATACTGAGCATGGACAACTTGATTTATCACATATGAATTCTGCAAATCAAGATATTTAACGGACAATGTTTATGGAGCTATTACCCTTTGATTCAACTAGCATGGCGGCTGGAAGGCGGGACTTCGTGACCTAATTAGGTGTAAGTAGTGATGAGAGAGCACGCGCGCGGGAGAGAAGCAGACTGCGTCGCGGGCGCGAGCGGCCATGATTAGTTCGCAAAGCCCCGCGCTCCAGCAGCCAAACCAGTTGAAAGGAATGGTTATGTTTTACGGTAATGCTAATATGCAGACATTTTTCGGTTATTTTCGTGCTTATGAACGGGCGAATCGAATAATTTTGATTGTCTTCACGATTCTGAAGTTCATTCTAGCCTACCTGTTGACGATGGGGTAATTGGCACACACTGAGGTCTACCATTGATTTGCCGACATGTGGTACCAGTTATACAATTGACGGTGGCGCAAGTTAGTGGACTTCCTGGAATGTATGTCTCTAAAAATTAGTGCAGAATGCTTTTATCTAAATTGTGTGGATCTACAAGCTTAGATGCTAATAGGATGATGTCTATTGCAAAAAAAATAATGGTGCTAGATGACGATGCCGAAAGAACAGTCAGTTTTTCGGGATGTTTATGCTTATAATGAGGCCGAAACTCAGAATTCCCATATTGTACAGGTTGAAACCTAAGTAATGCAACTTTTTATGTAACTCTCCTTGAACTTAGCGCATTCATTTTCTGGCAATATAAGGATTATGATGTAGATTGCAAATGCAGACATTTTTGCCGAATTTTGATATCTTATGTAAGTGTTACGGTAGGTTTAAGGTATAATGGGAAAATTTTTAGACAGCGTTAGATTTTGCTACAACTTGGCCTATGGGAGTTATTCGACATGCTAATCACAAAAATGAGACCCGTTTCGCATGAAAAGGCCTCTTTTGTAAGATCAAGAGTGAATTTCGTCTTAGGGACTAGTGAATATGATATTCATGTTCACCGAATTGAATAACCCTATTGTGCAAAGTCATAGCAAATCACAGCTTACTGCCCTCCAAATTTGCATTTGACTTCTTCTAAATTTCAGAGGCGCCTTATCTTGATTTCGACTTTTACTCCTTTTTTACTGATTCCTATGTCAACTTCCAGCTACATGCTGCCTATAGTTCCTTTTTGATATGTTTGATTCAGGTTTTGCACGGCTTCACGTTAGCCAAAAACCTGTGAAACCTCGATTTTCAAGGTTTTCCGAAAAGTTTTTGAGTTTTTCTGCTACATTATCAAAAATTAAGCGGTTTGCGCCGTCTTGGGCTTACGTCACAGTCTATATGTTGCCAGAGAATGAGAGTACTATTTGGATGAGAAGAAAATTATGAGAAGAGTTGCAAAACTTTTGTGCCAACCTAATAATTTCCGTAAAATTCTTGGTTCTTCTTAGCCTACCTGTAGAGGATGGGGCTGGCACGCATTGAGGTCTACCGTTGATCTGCTGACAAATCGTACCAGTTATACAATTGACAGTAGCGCAAGTCAGTGGACTTCCTGAAATGACCATATGTATTTTCCCAGATTATTTATGAGATGTTAAACGCCGAGAGAGACTATTTATACTCAATCGATGCGACTTTTTCAGCGAAAATTCACTTATACAAAAAGAAGTGCAATATAAGCGCCTTGATATGTACAGTGCACTATACCGATTTCAAACTGTTTTGTGGTTGCAGTTTTGTGCTTTTACTTTTCCTCAACTCCGCGTTTATCTCTATATATATAAAGAAGAAATTCTGTGAGTTTGTTTGTGCACATTCGAGTGCAGGTTGTGCAGTTTGTGCAGGGTGTGCAGGTTGTGCAGGTTGTGCAGGGTGTACAGGGTGTGCAGGACGTGCAGGTTGTGCAGTTTGTGCAGTTTGTGCAGAGTGTGCAGGTTTGCAGTGGTGTGCAGGTTGTGCAGTTTGTGCAGTTTGTGCAGGGTGTGCAGGGTGTGCAGGTTGTGCAGGTTGTGCATGGTGTGCAGGGTGTGCAGGTTGTGCAGGGTGTGCAGGGTTGCAGGGGGTGCAGGGTGAGGAGGGGGTAAGTGAACATGCTGATTCGAATACATTATTGACAGGACCGGGCGGAGCCGGGTTTGCCAGCTCGTTATTTTATGAAGAAGTAATTTATTGCTTAGCGATACCTGTAGTAGGAGGCTGGTTGCTTGGCACGCACTGGGGTCTACCGTCGATCTGTCGGCATGTGGTGCCAGTTATACAATTGACGGTGGCGCAAGTCAGTGGACTTCCTAAAAAATCTGTCAATATTATCTAGAATAATTAAAATAATGCTATACGCTAAGATTAACAGTAGTTTTTGATATGGATGCGGTTAAGTCAAATTTTGACCAGTGTGATGTTTTCAAATTCTTGAATCCACAAAATAAAGGCTACAGAGTGATTACGGAAAAGAGCTCTAGTGTTATATTAGCACATCAAGTTCTAAAATTCCAATTGCATTGCTTTTACCGATACCGCACTTAGTAATTTAAAAGTGCGCTATTCATATTCTAGTGATACCTGTAGTAGGAGGCTGGTTGCTTGGCACGCACTGAGGTCTACCGTTGATCTCTCGACATGTGGTACCAGTTATACAATTAACGGTGGCGCATGTCAGTGGTGCTGAAATTGTTTATTCATTTGTAAACCAACGAATCTCAATCTAATAATCAACAATTTATTGCTCGAAAGCATAGAAAGCAAGAAATAAATGCTATGTTTTATCAGACGGTCATTTTTTATAGACAAGCCGATGGCATCCTAAGCTTTTTCACTTGCATTCGTCATGTCCCAATCACCAAATGAGGAGTGGTCTATAATTTTCAAAGCTTCCATTGCAGAGTACCCGCCTGTACTTTCTCAGGTTCGGCTCACAGAGAAGGAGAAAAACTCAAAATTGAAATACTCCACCTTGAATTTTTCCGCTACTGATCCAAAGGTGGATAGTTCTTGGGTTTTTTGGGTACACTGTCAAAACTTTTGAATTCTTGACAAAGTGCCAAAGATTTCCTAGGAGAGGCGAGCTCTTATTCAATGGAAATTTGACCTGAAGAATTTGCGCGTGATTGTAATGCAATGATTCGTAGTGATTTATAATATTGTCAATTTGGTACTGTTTGAAAATGTTTGTGAGACATTCTTATCCGAAAAAATATGTACTAACGATTAGGTACGCATGTTGCTGATGGCTGTGGACAAGGTGCAAGGAGGCAATTAATAACTTCTTGCTCGCATCTTGTTCCGGGAGGACATTGCAAGGTAGCGCATGTTTCAGGCCCTAAATGTAATACTAAGTGTGCATCCTGAAGGCACCGTCCGCTCGAACAGAGGTTGAGGAAGGTTTATTATGGTACAATAGCAGTCCTCTAGTTAAGTAATTGCCAAGTCCCGCTGCAAAAGGTGAACTTCGAAGCGAGAAATATCCTCTATAAGGTAGAAGCGGCAGTGTTCGCTCCGCCTATCGACGTGGGTGGTCTGGTATGACCGAAATTGTGCATAAATGTGTCCAAAATTGTCGAAAGTCATGATCATAGTTACCGGCGGTTTAAATTTGGACATTTTCAATTCACTTGTGGACGTGGTCCCCACACACCCACATTGATGGGCGGAGCAACCACCGCTTTCTATCTTTTGGAGCGACTTTCCCGCTTCGGTATTACCCTTTTGCAGCGGGACTTGAGCGATCAATTAGTCAGGGACCCCTTAGTGTACCATATCAATTTCACCATTCTCAGTTTAGGTGGGCAGTGCCTGTAGAGTTTTAACGCAAAAGCAAAGCCCATTTCCCATATTAGCTTAGTAAGCGAGTAGATAAGTCAGTACTTGGAACGCATTGTGTGGGTATAACAAAGCATGGTGGGACAAACGGGCAAATCTCCCTGCCCAGCTCACAAATTGTTCCCGCAGGGCAATTTCTCTCTCGGCACGGTATGACGCGCTCTAAATTTGTGGCTAAATGCGGAAATTACGCTAGCTGCAAAGATAAGGAATCACCTGGAGGACAGCTGGCAACAGGAATGCATCTCCTATTGGCATCACGGACATATCCTCTTCTGCACTGGCATACGTCAATGGCGCAATCTCTGGTACATACCTGGAAAAGCCATGGTCATCATTTGGAAGTTTTTCTGCAGGTGCAGACAAAACTGACCGGATTACGATCGGCGCAAGATGGTTCGCACATTGTTCCACATTCTTGGAATACTTCGTTTGCTTGACATTGATTTTGTCCTGAGTAAGGTAAAGTATAAATGATGGGTGTACCGGTTAACTTATGTGGTTACCGACCTCCATTGCCTCCATTACCAGGACAGTTTGACAGTTGCACGCAAGCATTCTGATCGTTACGGTAGAATCCAGATCTGCACTGGCATCCAACAACGCATTGTTCAGTACAGATTTCCTAAAATACATATTCTGCTCGAAAAATGGTATCAGTCGACTCTTACCGGTCTTGGAACTCTGCAGGATGGTTCACAAGCAGTTCCACATGTGTTGTACACTTCATTTGCAGAGCATCGGCCTTGTGGTGGTTGAGCGGTTTGTAAGGTATTTGCAGATACTGTAATGTCAAAAACTACTTGTAAAATAAGTTTAACTCTTGGCACTCTAAACTTCTGCCATGCACTGAAACTACGCCTCAAAAATGACAAACCTGCAGGACAGCTAGCAACGGGAATGCATCTTCTATTGGCATCACGAACGTAACCCTGTCTGCATTGACATACATCAATAGCGCATACCCTGTTACATACCTAAAAAAGTCACGGCCATTAATGTCGTTTCAGAATCTTCCTGCAAATACGGCAAAACTTGCCGGATTACGATCCGTGCATGTTGGTTCGCATTGTGTTCCACATTCTAGGAATACTTCGTTCACTTGACATTGATTTTGTCCTGGATGTGGCAGAATAGTAGATAAGAGGTATATTAAGTAGCATGCGTGGTTACCAACCTCCATTGCCTCCATTGCCTCCATTACCGGGACAGCTTGACAATGGCACGCAAGCATTCTGGTCGTTACGGTAGAGTCCAGATCTGCACTGGCATCCAATAACGCATTGGAGGGTGCAGATTTCCTAAAAATATCAGAAGCTCCAAAGATAGCGTTTACACTCAATTTTCTTACCGGTCTAGGAACCCTGCAAGATGGCTCGCAAGCAGTTCCACATGTGGTGTACACTTCATTTGCAGCGCATCGGCCTTGTGGTGCTTGTGTCGTTTGTAAGATATCTACAATTGCCGTACTAATATAAATGTAAATAAAACTTAAACTCTGTGATTTGTTCGTTAGTATGTTTGTGGCTTATACTCTCTTTGTGAGCCGAGAAGGCAATTTCTTCCTCTATAAATAAGGCACAGCCGACAAGATAGGCTACTTTTGCAACGATTCGGGCCCTTTGATCAATTTTTGAATTTTTTTACTAACATCGAGGGAGTGAAAGTTCACTACCATTGTTGGATCATTTCCTCAAAGACAAGTATGCGAGCGTTGAAGTTCATTTTTATTTCTCGGAAAAAAGGATCCGGTGTTTCAAATAGGCACGAAGGCATATCACAGTTTCGTCGCAAATATGGGAAAGGGATGGTAATTTTTGGGATCAAATAGCGCACTTCCCGGGCGGGACTGGAGGCGCCTGTATAAGATAACAGCCAAAAGCCTTTTACCTTTCACTACGAATCACACCAAAAAGAGTAGGGGATAGCTTGCTTCCATTGTTAAATAAAAATTACCGTTCCGAGAGGATATTTGCAATAAAATTATGAGTAGCCCTTTTTAAAGTGAGAGTTAACTGAAATTTAGTTTAAGTCGAAACCAGCTCCCTCAGACTGAGCCTCTCGTAAAAATTGGCTCACGACATAGCCTGGGTGGACCAATGATCCTCACTTCATCCAACAAAGATAATTTCAACCAACGTTTGCGAATTGTTCTTACTATTTTACAAGTTCTTTGCTTGGGAAATCCGTGCATTTTTTCCGGATTATGATTTCCAAAAAAAAAGATTTGCTGAGCAAGCTATATGTAACTGAATTACTTGCGGCTACTCGCTGTCCATTTTGCATGCAGACAGCTTCAACAGGGCATTCATCAGCGCATCCGGGATCCTTTGGCTGGATTTCGCAACTAAAACAGTTAGCAAGCATGTTACTGAAGGGGCTCGTGATTGATATAAGGTGGTTCTTACGTGCTAGGAGGTGCACAACGAATTTGACTGCAATCAGGATCAGCTGTTTGTGCTACCCAGTCTATAATGTGTGAGATTTTGGTGTCATCAAAAATCCGTAATTTTGTTTGTTAATTTTGCTTTTGTACGTTCACCCGAGATTGATGCAAATCGTTTCAATGACATTTCCATGCATAAACAAAGGGAAGCAAAACAAGTCTTGCATCGCGATTAAACCCATCGGTCACTCATTTCGGTTCGCAGTAAATGTTTGCGCTCGGTAAGCGACCTTGCTCAATCTTCTCAACGCTTGACATACATTTGGCTTTATTTTACTGCTCAGACTCGTATAGAATGCTACAGAGTAGTAAACGAAATGTTAAGCAAATCTGCTAAAAATGGGTAAACATGGAGATGAACAAGTGTCAAAGCTACCAGAAAATACAGCGGAATGAATGCTCTCATACAGTGGTAAACTTGAAGGTAATCTACAGAGAAATGGACTACTTATAAGGATGAATGAAATGATAAAAAGTTTGAGTTAGGTAAGCTATTGCTTAAGAGGTAGTTTAAATAATTCAATTATGGCTGCAAAAACGCCCTCCCCAGATCGCATCTTTCAGAGCGGACCAATCAGCATCCTCAAGAACGGTACTTCGATTGGCTGAGTACGTTCTGGGCGAGAGCTCAAATTTCGATCGGTCGGCCACAGACAGAGTGTATAGGTTGTCGCTCAAGTAACAGCTAAGAGTTCCGAATCACTTCTCTAATTCCGTCTAGAGGGTCAAGGTATGTATATCTCACCCATTCCTCCCAGTATTTTATTATATTAGGTGTCCCGAAAGTTTTGTCGGTTTCTTTCATCGCTCACTGAAACTTACAGAACACCAATCCATGGACAGCTTAGGTGCCGCTTGAATCATACTTTAATTCTCTCTCTTGCAGTTATACTTGCTCTCTGATCTACTCTGTCTTTGCAATGTTATCGCCATGGCTTTTTGAACATCTCAGCAGTAAGGCCAAATATTTCCTGAATTTTAGAACTCTTTATTCTGATTTTTCCAAAATGCGCTGTAATTGTTACGTACAGCAGACCTTTGGCTACATTGTAACCATTTTAGATTACGTGGGCCGCTTTTATCAAGTCCGTTATAATTATTTATTTAATAAAAACCGCGGCTTTTTGATTAAGTTTAACACCAAAAATTCCAAAAAGCTGCTTTACAAAGCGAATTAAAGTTGATTATGTTGCATAAATAATGTTTAGTAAGAATCATGCTTCAATACGCAAAAATTCAAAAGCTTTCGTGTATTTAATGCAGTTGCATATTTCATGACTTTGCCAAAAATCGAGACCTTCGGAGAAATAAATTTTTGAAGCTAAAAACAGCAGATTAGGAGAATCTAAAAATACTACCTTGTAGTCCGAGAACTGCTCTTTTTGATCCATACTTAAGCCTTTTCGAAACTTTGGAATGAAATCTTTCAAAATTAGCCTAACTTTAAGCAGGTAAAATCGACGGGTGGAGAATTTTGACAATTATCAAAAAAAGCATGCAAGATTATGGCTCGAAAATGCATCCATAAGGAAGGGAAGGAAATGTTGCATCCAATGCATTTTGAAACACATTCAGGTCTTTAGTGCGTGGTTTTACAGTGGTTTGAAAAACCGACAAAACTTCCGGGACAACCTAATATTAGGTTGGTGCAAAAGTAATGCGCGTTTTGCGAATTCTCACTTTGACGTGCTATAACTTTCTAAAAAATCCATATTTTTCAGTGCGGCAAAGTTCATCAGAGGCATCAAACCTTTCTCTATACAGCGCACGTTGCCTTTGGTTAATTTCGCAAATTGATGGAAAAATATGGACTGATAAGCAAAAAAAATTTTCTCGGAAACCTCGTCTTTAACTAATCATAACTTCCTTCAAGATTCGTCGGTATGAATGATAAGTTGACTGTCTTGTAGCCGCAAGCCAGTAGTACTAAAAAAATGCAAAAGAGCGCAAATAAAGAGTATTTGCGAAAAGGAAAAAAATAATATTCAAAATTTTCGCTTTTTTCGACATTTTTTGTAGCTCTCAAAATCCCAGAATATAGAGATTTTTGATTTTCTGTGTGCTGAACAGCTTCCACATTTCTGCAAAAACTGTCAACAAGAGGTCCATTTTTACACTTACAGAAATGAGCAAAACCTTGGCGATTACCCTCTTCAAAGAAAATCTATGGGCCACAGAATGGCCAAAACCATCACTCATGTTGAGGCGCCGAGATCTCAGTCTAACTAATTTCTAGAGAAACAATAAAGCGTTCATAACGTAAAAAATTTCTACTACATATAGTATTCAAATTTTCAAAAGAATGCCTCTACTCGCGCTTGAATTCCGGCCGAAAAAGTAAATGCAGTGAAATTCTGGTTTTGAGTGCGGTTGTATGAAGCTCTATAAAAGAAAACGAATGAGGCTAGAAGCCTCTTTCAACCATCATTGAAAAGAGCATGAAAGAAGCTTCTTGACAATATGCTGGCTAAGTTTCATAGGATAAACTTTGATGGAGAAAAGCTATCTTGAAACAAGGGTTAGAAAAACGCGCATTACTTTTGCACCAACCTAATATTTCATAACGATACGATGCTTGTCAAGTAGGGGTCACAAAGCCAGCAATTTTCTCTTCAAAATATATAGAAACGAGCACGCATCCCGGGTTTCACTCCGGTTTGGAGCCAGTCTATTAGTCTGAATTCCCCACCCTGCACACCCTGCACACCCTGCACACCCCGCACACCCTGCACATCCTGCACATCCTGCACTACTGAGAATGTGCACAAACACACAAACTCACAAATTTTCTGCTTTATATATATAGACTAGCGACCCTACGGGTCGCTAGCAAGTGGGTTGGGGCAGATACATTCGAAGCTGCAGCATTCTTGCGACTATGAGTAACAACAAACAGATCTATCAATTTGACGATTTTCTTCACCTAATATGATAAAACAGGAGTTCGAGACTGTTGCCACAACACCGTACTTTTAACGAAACAGGCATTAAGCAATGATTGGATAGCTATAATTCAACCTTTGTTGTTCTTACTGCAAAAGCATCTTAGCAAGACATTCAGGAACTAATTTTACGTATTTCGTGTGTTCTTTGTTCGTAAAATCTGGCATTTGACAAACCTGCGTGGCATGAAAAACTTCAAGTTAATCTCACATTCTGAAGACTGCCGCTAAAATATTCTCTATAACAGTATCCCGCCTCAGTCATCATTGAGCAGTCATTTAGCCAAAATCTGCTCACTGCTGGGTGTGAAATTGGGATTACTTAATGTGGTACTCCTTAGAGACGAGGCTTTTCGGACATTCATACCAAGTGTCCAGCGAGATCAAAGTGTACAATTTGCAGCTTTGGAAGGTTAAATAGAATTACTTCAAACTATTTGAAAAACTCATAAAAAGCTGCAATATTCGTTGAACGTGCATTGTCGTAGAAATTGTCAGGTCTTTTTCAACAAGAAAAAGGTTTGCACATTCGATCGGGGAGCAGGACAGTGTTTTCCTAAAGTTCCAGCGATTGTCAGGAATTCAAAGGTTTAAACTCAGAGACCTTCTAGCGTGAAACTCTCTTCCCTAGAATTACATACAGTGCAAAGAATTTCCCTTTTCGTCGCAATGCTTTCTGCCAAAGTGACGCCCCCCCCCCTCCCCCTCCCCAAATTCCAGGAAATGCATAAGATTTCCTTCTTTGAGGCATCTCTCTAGAAGTGAGGCGGAAGCCTCCAAACACCTCGCTTCCCCTTTCAGAAGCACCGCCATTTCTGCTACATCCTGAAATTCTTTGCAGTGAATTCGATGCCTTTGACATTCCCAGGTTTCCCTCCAGAGACCTCAGTATTCTACCAGAAGTACGAGTATAATTTTACATCCTCAAAAGTCCTTGCAAAAAAAACCGTTACAGAGTGAAGCGGAACCCTTAGACACCCCTTTTTTAAGAAAACTATACGGATTTTATTCAAAATTAAAAACTCTGCACAGTGAATCTTCTAAGTCAAATTATGCGGACCCTCCCT